CCGGGCGTTTTCTTGTCCCAGAGACGTCCCTCCGCTGGCTCACCAGGCCCCCAGGCAGCACAGGGTAAGCTGGCAGGCGTGAGCCTTTGGAGGGCGGCAGCTTAACAGAGGAGCAGCTGGGAGGGTTCTAGCACTCCAGTCCTGCTTTAGTAACCCCTCTGTGCAGAGGAGGTGAAGAGCTGGGGTCTGTGTGGAAGTCTCACCCTTCTGCCCATGTATTTATGACCATTTACATGATCAGTTAACTTGGGGGAAGAACTTCGCATGGCCTGAGGCTACTGGGAGATGCAGGAGGAGGAATCTCCTTACTGTGAGCAAGGTTATCAAGGAACTTCCCCCATGCACCTTTCTCTCTCCCTGTTATTAAGAATGCAGAGAGCTGGGGCAGGATTCATCTGCTCCCCCCCAATTCATTCCCTCCCCCCCAAAACACTTAAGTAGTAGCACTGTTAAATAAATTGGGAGTTGAAGCAAGCTGAGTCACTAGTCCCTGGCAAAGTCAGGTGGTGTTGACTCATTGCGCTTTCAACCAGAAAGACTGCCATAAACAAATCCACCTGGCTCTTGATGCTCTTGGATGGAATTCCTGGCTCCACACAGAGCAATGCAGTGTTCTTCTAAATAGGCAGCCATTTCTTTGCAAGGGGAGGTGAGACAGTTGTCCTCAAGGAAAGCCTCTGGGCTGCTAAGTGGGAGACAGGCAGATTCTGAACCCATCACAGGCACAGAGCTGTCCTACTGAAAATAGGCTGTCCTACGTCCTACTGAAAATAGGCACACAAGACTGCAACAATTTGTTTCCATGTACCAACCACTGAGCACTTTCCACCAGGGTGTGTCCTCATCTTAATGAATGAAAAGGAGAGATGTGCCATCTTTATTTTCATCTTAGGCAAAGATGAGACCCTCTTCAACCTGCAGACTGAATTCCAATTTGGAGAAATAGGGAGGGGGGAGGCATATTGTAGTGGGGGGGCATATCCAAAAGCAAAAGGAGCATGGCCAAAAGCCGGAGGAAAAACCTGCCAGCATATGGCAGCTTTAAGCCCTCACAGCCAATACTAAGTCTCAGAGAAGGCATGTTGACCTTTAGAATGGTGGGAAGAAACTGCACAAAAACTGCCAACCCAAATAATTAACTTTTGGGAGAAATAGAGTGGGGCCAAGGATAAGGAGGTGGGGTCATTTTGACACCCCCCCACACACAGCTGGGTTGGGACCCCTGGGGCCTGAGGCTCCACACCCCTGATTTCAGGCACCAAAATGCCTTGGGCTGGTCTTCTGCTGTAATGCCCTGGATTCTTTGTCCAGGTAAGCAGTCACTATTTTCAGGAAAACAGGTTGTGCAGCCCGCCTTGGGTAAAGTAGCCTAATGATCTTTGATTCTTCCTTTCCCCCAGGGAAACGCCCCAAGAAGGGGCTAGCCACAGCCAAGCAGCGACTGGGACGCATTCTGAAGATCCACCGCAACGGCAAGCTGCTGCTCTGAGCATCATCCCATCAACTCCAGTCTCATGCCCCTTGGGCACCAGAGGATGGGTGAGGCACAGAGACTTGGAGGCACTGTCTCGGTTTTCTCAGAGAGCTGCTGGGATGACGGGGTGTGGTTGAGGCCCGTGCTCCCTTCCACTTCCTCCTGTGGATCCGAGCCAGGACTGCGTTGCCGCACCACAGGAAGCACTGAATAAGGTTGGCAGCCGCTCTGGCATTGTTGAGCTGAACCACGCTGGCTTCCCCGGGAGAGGCAGATGGTGCAGGAAGCAGAGGGCTCACCCATGCCCACTGCCTTTCCATCCCTACCTCGACCCGCTGCACCTCCTTGTTCTGGGGCTGATACCTCTGTAGAATTCTTCCCTCTCTCTGCCAAATCGCACACAAGGACATTGGCCTTTTTTCTTCCCAGCAGCTTCACCCGCCCTTTGTATTTTGCTGCTGCCCCCAGGTCCTGTGAAACATTTTTGTTGCTTTTCTTTTTAAACGGCTCATTCCTGGTAGGAAGCAACTGATCAGTGAAGCAGGCAGCCCCTTTTCATCCTCCCCTGTCTTCTGGGGACTCTGTAGCTTCCTTCCAGACACACCTTGGGAGAATGAGATGGGAGAGCAGCCACAGCCCTGTGCCGTGCCACGTGGAGGGTCATCCAGCAGCTTGGTAGACCCCAAGAAAGCAGGACAGAGACCATTCTTTTCAGAAAGGCAGTGGTATTTTTCGGGGTGCTGCTCTTCATTAGCTGGTGGCTGGGGGGTCAGAGCATAGGTATGGGCTAGACATGCCCAAGGAATGGATTTTGAAACCTCTGGTCAGGTGGGAAGGCACATTTTGCAGGATAGAGATGGGTTGGTAGCTTCAACCCAAATTATCTCTACCCTTTTGGAATACTAGGGTGGGCCAATGCTTCATGATCCCCCAGATAATAAGCTCCCCACCAATTAAAAGCTACTTTGTCTGAGAGAAGACTTCTTCCTGGCTTGCCCATCTGAGTATGAGAAGGGAGTTCTGTTGCTTTGGCGTGTGTTTGTTTCCTTTTAATCTTAACGCTCAATCCTCCACGTGTGGTCAAAAGTAGTACAGGCCAATATCTGCTACATCGGATGGAAGTTCCTGCCACAGAGAAGGAGAGACTCTCCCTGGCAGGTTTCTCTCTGTGGTGCAAGAGTTTCCAGTAGGCTTCACTTTTGTTCCTGTTCAAGATCTCGCCTGTTGTTTTTATAGTTTGGGCCTAAAGCAGCCTCCACTCCGTTCCCCCACCCAGCCCCATTCTTTAGCGGCAGGGAGGGCACATGCCCCCAAAGCAAGGACTTAAAAGACATTTCTACCCAGCTGCACGGCTCAGTTTATATGGCTGTGTACCATATTTTTACGCCAGACTACAGCAGGCTTTGTGTAAATGTTTGAATTCTATTTTTAGGCCTCTCTCTAGAAATGTGTGTTTAAAAAAATGAAATGAAGCTCAAACTTTTTATATATATATATAAATATATATATATTCAGGGTTAGAATAAAAAAACCTTTGTTGGTTTCGTGTGGTTGAATGCCTTGAAGCAGTGGTGGTGAGGTTCCACTTGTATTTCTCTAGAAGCAAAATCCTTCTGTTATCTCAAAGTTTGTCCTCTGGAGAGGTTGGTGTTTAGGTGCAAATTTAGGGCAGCTTCTACTCGTACAGAGTGATCACTGTTGATACACAAGTGCCCAGTCCATTTTGAAGGGTACATATGCACTTTGCTTTTAAATTTAGAGCTTAACTGCAGGGGACTGACCATTTATTATGAATATGTACACCAGTGCCAACAAAATGCCTCTCAACAAAATGACTTCTGGAGAAATTTGTTATATTCTTTCAAATTAGGTGAATGACTTGCAAATCAAGTTGTATAGGCCAGTTTTCTTTGGCCTCTTGATGACATGATTGAGGCCAAGGTAGTGTAGCAATTTAATCAAGGGTGGGCCGCTTGCCGTCCTCCAGATGCTTTGGCCTAAGCCCCTGTCATCCCTCACTGCCAGCTTTGCCAGCTAGGGATGATGGCCTATATCTGGAGAGCTGCTAGTTGCCATCCTGCTTTACATTACTACATTACCGAGGTCTCTGTTGTGTCATCATGTAGCCAAAATAAATTGGCCTTCACAGTTTGATTTTGATCCAGGCAGGAAGCAGCAGTCAGAGAGAAGCATGGCCTCAACCTATATTTTGTAAGACTTTTAAAGCTGTTCCTTTTGGGATTGGAGGAATTTTGTCCCACCAAATTTTGTCCCAATCTGTGTAATCCTATTTAAAATATTTGGACACTGAAGCTAAATCATTTCCCAGTCTCTCCTTAAGTATGTTTTAAAGGACAATTTGATGAATAACCTATCCGGTATTAAGGACACATACACCAACTGCTTGCCCCAGCCCCAGCCCTCATCCCATTATGTAGCATTTCCCTAGTGTGGGACAGGGCCTAGTAGTAGGTCTCAGACAACCTTCAGGAGCATCTCAGTCCCACAGACTGCCCAGTGCCTCTTTACTCAGCCACCCTGTGCCATGACAGCATCATGTAGAATACATAGGCAGGTGTAGTAGAGAGTAAGGCTATTATTATTTTAAAAACTCAAAACTAGGAAACATGAGGAAAGGGATGAGAGGGAAGCTGTTATAAAGAGGAATGAATGCAAAAACAGCAGGCAGGTGAGATGAAAGACACTGGTGACTGGGGACAGGGCAGAAGTTAAGTGTGAAAGAAGAAGGGGAGAATAAATCATATAAGATTGGTAAGAAAACTAAGAGAGGCATTTGGCAGGAGGAGAAAAGCAATATACAATCAAGTTATCTGTACTTAGAGTAGAAGTTTTGGGGTCAGTGGGAACATTTGAGATTGTGAGTGTTTTTCATGGGTGCTGTTTGTTCATAAAATGGTTGCTCAGTC